TTTAGTCCATATTTTTTTTTAAAATCAATCATTATTTTATCTCAAAATTACCTATTAATTTCTCAATTGAGTTAGATTTCTTACATATTAAATATTAAATAATAAAAAATATTATTTTATATGTGTAATATGATATTTACATATTATATTCAAAAAAGTAATAGAAAATTAAAGGTTATTTAAAACTAAAATAATCATTTTTTTCTAAAAAATAAAAGTTCTAACCTAGATGGATAAAAGTACAAATAACTATTATCTATCACCTAAAACTTACACATAGAACTAAAGCACAAAAAAATAACAAGCATTGAACAATTCAGTTAGTTTGCATCGATAAGTACAATTTGAAAAATTTTATGTTTATTTTGATTAATTATAACATTTTTATTTATTACTTCTTTTCATATTTATTAGTAAGTATGAAAACTTAATTATATTTTTTTATAATATTTAGCAAATTTAATATTTTTGTACTTTATAATATAAAGTACAAAAATATTCAATTTGCTATATATTAAAAAAAAAATATAATTATGTTGTCATTATATCTCAAGCTTTGGATGACAATCTTTTCCTTCGTAATCATAGAGCTAATAATTTCTGACAAAAGAATTTGTCGCTTTTGTATGTGTTTGGAGACAATGAATATTTCGTCACTGCTTCTATTTTTTGTGACGTTTTTGTTACTGTCATTTTTTTTTTTTGGCGACGACCAATATTTTGTAATGTAACTCTTTCATGACGAATTATATGAAATATGACGATTTTTATAACGAAAACGCTACAAATATATTCGTCACTGAAATTTTATAAATTCGATAAAATAATAAATTTCGTCACTAAAAAATAATATTTAATTGACAGAGTCAAGTTTTCGTCATTTAAAACTTGTCCTTTTATGACAAAATAATCGTTTACATGACAAAATTCGCATAATAAACGTGACGAAATTATCGTCATGAAAGATGACCAAATAACATGACGATACTTATAAACGTCATTAAAAGTGAAACATTTGGTGACAAGTTCAAAATTTTTCACTTAAACCTAATATGACGCGGCTACGGTGACGATCTCTGTGACAATAAAATTTCGTCATCAATTTACTTTTATGACGAAAAATAAGCTTTACATGGCGAATTTTATCGTCATATTTTCTGAAATTTCTTGTAGTGATATTGTTCTTTCATATGTTCTTCACCTAATGGTTAGGTGAAAATTCGTTAACTTTATTGGCTTTGCGACCACAATTGAAAAAAATTAATCAAACGAACAAATAAATACATTTTTTGTGGGATAAAAATTCAATTCAATAAATCTAAGGTGCAATTTCTAAATGTAAGAGTTTATTTTTCTTAATTACGAATTAGCTAAATGAATTGATCCACTATTTTTAGTTTGTTAGATTATGTATATACTCGGTATATTAATGAATATTCGTTGCGATTTTAAGTAGAATGTCTGATCGTTGTGTTTTTTTTATTGCAATATAGCAATTTTTTGTGTATTATTTCTTAAACATTAAAACTTTCATGTAGTACTTTTTGTTATTAATTAAAGTAATTACCATTTTACATTAAAGTTATATTAAAAATAAGATATTTTTCAAAGCATCAATTATATATATATTTTTAAAGCTTTGTTATCTGGGTTGATTTTATGGAGATATGAAAGAAGCAGTTTGACAAATATGTAAAAGAAACAAATTCGTGAGGAATTTGATTTTTAGGAGATCTAAAATGTTTTGTTCGTGTATCTATATTTATTTAACTAGATAATAATTATTTCTTAAAAATATAAGATATGATAAGTATTAGTGTATTACTAATTTGCCATTAAAAATATGTCAAAGTAAGGGCTTTTGAGGCAGTTCATATTTTTATAAAACCGCTCGTCTTTTTATAATAGTATAGATAGATAGATAGATATAGATATAGATATAAATAGACTGATAGATATAGATAGATAGGTAGAAGGGGAAATGCTCACATGCCCACGGTGGACACATGTTAATATGCCCACCGATGTGCCATGCACACGTTGGTGATATTAATATATTAAAAAAAATACATGACCAATGTGTGCATGCTACATAAGTCGTTGGACATATTAACATGTGCCCGGACATGTGAGCATTTCCGAGGTAGATAGATAATGATAAATAACGGCTACAATATAATTGGTTTTCTCTATTTCATCCACTGAGCAAACGGATTATTTCACGTGTCTTTATTACGTTAAAATTTAATATCTTAAAACATAAAAATCAAAATATGACGGAAATACAATATTATAGTAACAAGATAGAAGTTAAACTATCTGACAAAAATCCAATTAATACAAGAATTTAATAAAATGCACTATCAGGATGGACATTGGCTAAAATGATCTATGACCCTAAGCATTATAAAAACTAGGGTTAATTGTAGATAAAACTCAAATATTTTGTTAAATTGCAGATAAAACTACACTTTATAAGTTTGGGAAAACAAAAAAAATACTAACTTTTTATAAGTGTTGCAACTGTGTCTCAACCGCCACCTGCCGCCGGCCAACTTCGTCGGATGTTGAAAATTTTTACATGATCTTGTAGCTCTCCTTCGTGCCGACAACATATCCGAGTTTCACGAGCAAATTCCGACAATAAGGCTTCCAATTTTCTGGTCAAAGCTCGTAGATCTACAAATTTTATCCGACTCTTTCGCAAATTCCCGGTGACTCGCTTTGACCCACGTGAATCGGAAGGTACCGTTGAACTCCTCTCGCAAAGCCGCATCTAGTGACGTCCACCTTCACCGGAACCGGTGACTTTTTCCGGTCATCCTTATCGTCGGAATTTTTTTGTGAAACTCGGATATGTTGTCGGCGATTGTGCTACAACGGGTTGGAGTTTGCCCTTCGATTCCACCTAGGTTAACAACAAGAATTTCAAAGGGGGTGACACACGGTAAGAGGCTATTTTTGCCTGCTATTTTATATATGTTATGTAAACGTAGTCTTAACTCATTGTTATTTTTCTCTCTCATGTTTGATTATTTATACAAAAGTGGATTTATCTCGTATTATATTTGTTTACCTATTTATTTTAAATAAATACACATATATACAATGTCAATTTTATTGCAATAATTCTTTCGTAATCGAATGTTGTGTTTGTGGTGTTAATTTAGTGTTCGTATTCGACCCAAGATTACACATTGTGCTGGAGGTAAGCAAGAGTGACTACGATAATTGCAACCCCAAGCCCATAGGGACAAATGCATATATGAAGGAAACGCCAGCTACTGTTAACTTAAATACAATTGGATGGCGTTACTTCATCTGCAATGTATCTGATCACTGCATCAACCAGGGAATGAAGACTGCGGTCACCACCAGCGAATAATGCCAATGGTGGTGGTGTTGTCATTACTATATCGAGGACACATATTATGAAGAAGCCACTTTAAGTTGCTACTGTATGCGTGGCTATATATAGGCGCCTAATACCATGTACGTTTGACTTATTTCGAACAGTGCTCTACTCTACTTGTTCCTGATATGTAACACTGTATCAATAAAAAATATAAATGTATACACTAATGTATTGATTCCAATACAAGAAGGCTTTGGGTAATTACTTTTCGCTCAATATTGGCTTACGAAACAAATTGTGTGAGAACACGTAGAAAATTATGTGGTGTTGAAAGATACGGGAGTGCCAACTGCCAACGTGCGCTATTAGTGTACAAGTAAAAAAACTTATATGAAAGCAAATATAACAAAAGTTTCATAAGAGAGCGTCACTTTACCATTCAAAACTCTTTCCCTAATAAATTCGTAATTAATAAATTTTTGTACGTTTGCAACGTCTTTATGATTTATAGGGAATGAAACTCTCTTCTCCTACTACTCTCTCTACAATCAACTTCTCTAGCTACTTTTCTAGTTAACAAGTAGATTTAAACAACAATTAAAATAATTGAGTAATTATACTTACCAAGATTTAAATGTCTTAACCAAACACCACGTTTCCAAGATTTATAAAACTTATCAAAAACTAAAACATAATTCAACACCTGATCTTGAAGAGGCTTAACCAAAACAACACATTCCCCATTTATAATGGAATGATTGGCGGCACGAGATAGATATTCCAAAGAACTTGAAAAACTTTACTGAATAAATAAAACATTATTTAAAAGTAGGTTTGGTTTTTTTAGTTACTTGAAAAAATAATGCCGACCTCAATTTGAATTACTCGTGATTTTAGAAGTAAAAACAAATTATCGAATCGGGAAAATAAGTTTAATTGATTAACTGCAATTCGACAGTTATTAATGTGCAATTCATCTAACGCACTTACAATACTGCACTTACAGTGTCGCTACAAAAAAAGTTGTATTTAGAGACGCTTATTTTTTTATTTAGGGACATTTATTAGTGTCACAAATAAATTTACCTGCACTTGCAAAAGTGTCGCCAGTTGCGTTGCTAAATTTGATGTCACGAATTCCAGTTGCGTTGCTAAATTTGATGTCACGAATTTATTTGTGACGCAACCTAGATGCATAAGTAATCTTTAATGGGCGACACTTTTTCAAAATTGCGTCGTTAGTACATAATTTAGTGACACAATATATTACTGTAAGTAATTTTCAATGAGCGACTCTTTTTTTAGCACGTCATCATTATTACGAGTTGTGACATAAAATTTTAACGTCGGTAAATCTCAATGCATGACGCTTTTTTATAGCGTCATTAATATAGATTGTGACATGAAATTGTATTGTTTGCAATTTTCAATACATTACACTTTTTTAAGTGTGTCAAAGTACAAAGAGATTGAAAGACATTTTATGAAAAATCAATATCCAAACACAAACCTCGATCCACAATCGTAATCCAATGGTTCATTGAACAAATGATAATTGAAAGACTAGGACCAAAATTCTCATGACATTGAATTTTAAACAAAAAAAAAACTAAGATGCTACACGTTGGAACGAAAACATCCATCTTCAACGTCGTGAACCCACTACTGAACGATACTGCACAAGCACAAAGAAAGCAAACCATAAACCAATGAATCATCTGAAAATGATACTATAGTGTCATAAACAAAGGAGTTATCAATGTAACCAAACAAATACCTTGATGAAGCTGATATCCTTGGCGTTGCTGCGGAAGCATTGTTTGCAGCACATCAAACCATACTTCCTGATGATGATGGCATGCAGGTTACCACAAACCCGACTGTTGAAAAACAAAATGACATAAACAAGTTAAAAACTCCAACCAATAAAGGATAATCATGGAACAACAATTATACATGAGATGGAAAATAACATAGACATGTAATTTTGCTTAGGTATAGTTCACTGGTTGTCGGCACTTCAATCCATTTATTTCGTAGGTTTCTTAAATATATTTTACTACTTCATTTTCTCTTTCATTAGCAAGATTCAAAATCAACATTCCTTTCTCAAACCAATTGCCCATTCAACTATAGAACTCCTAATACGAAATTATAATATTCTATGATCTTCCAAGAAACTTTAGAAAAAGCAAAAATCTGAAATAAAAAACCCTCTAAAACTTACTTTCAGATCACACAGAAATAACAACCTACTGTTAAAAGTTACTTTCAGATGACTACAGAAATAACAACTGATTGTTAAAAGTAACAAATCCCAAAATAAGCTAAAACTACTTATTTTAGTAAATGGGCACCAAAATTCACCTTAACAAATCACATGAGAAGAATAAGAAAAAATAGTTGTACAAGGGAAAAATTTTATGTTTAGCAAAAACATACAAATTAATAAATTCAGCACCAGAATGACATATTCATATAGTCAGCGATTGCATTCTAAGCTGAACCCTGCAATTGAAAAAGCAAAGCTTGCAAACTAAGTTTATTCCCTATTCAATACTGAAAATCAATAAAAGGTCAAAAATTCGAAACGAGAACTCACCGGTTGTGTATGAGTACTCAATGCACTAACAGGGGCGTCATGCCTCCCCAAAATATCCTCCCTATTGTAGTTTGTAGTTGAACACAAGCGTGGAACTAAAAAACTCCTAACAAAAGAAAGTAAAAGATAACAGCACAGGTGAAAGGCAATCAATACCGAAAATCATAACAAAATATAAGATGGAATTCAAATATTGCCAAACAAAATGGAAAGTTGAATACTTTTATCATTTTGAACCAAAAATAGCTAAACACCATCACGGTGTCAAGGTAAATCTAAAATTGAAAACTTAGGTCTTTGAAATGGAAAAATGAATCACCTTCTAACAGTGTGATCAACGGAGGCACTAAACCCTGATGAGCCATCGTGAAAGCAGCAATCAAGCACGCCTCCTCCTTGCATAAACTCTCCCCTTAGCTTATTGGCGGTTACATTGGACAGTCGGACACTCTAACAATAAAGTCATCACGAAAAACTTTTATTAAAGAAAGTAAAATATGAATTGCGGATCCAAAATTGGAAAAAATCAAACACGCCACTATTCAATGAAAGCATGAGCTAGACCTTGTCCCAAGAATAAACTAGTAGATGGTTGCTGTGGTTCGAGAAGCGGGGTTTAAAATTCAATATCCCTTCAAACAATTAAAGAGAAAAAATAGCACTTTAAGAAAGAAATAAAATCCCAAAAAGCAACAACAAAGTAACTAAGATTATTGTAAAAATTAGGGCACTAAAAAACAACAATTCACCATAATCCACAAGAGTCAGTCCCATATTTTGCTAGAAGAACAAAAATAAAGAAAAATAAACATAAATTGAGAAGAAGTAAGCTTACCACGCTAGAGGCTGGGGCTAAGGCGAGGTCGGAGACGACGAAGAAAGAGAGTATGGGGAGGGATGAGGTGCAAAACCGGCCTGCGGGAGAATAAATAAATGGCCTGCAGTGCTGTGAGTCTGCTGAGGGCCAACAAAACTGAAAACTCACAAATTCAGAGTTCAACAATCAGCCATACTCATCTAAAATTCTAATGTGCAAAATTAATCAATAAGTCACAAATTCAAAATTCATACAAATCAAATTAATCAAAGTTCTAATGTGCTCATAATACACAGAATCGCAGTCCACATACGCATCCAATATTAATCAATAAACCAAGCAATCAACCATTATTACCGGAATAGAAGCTCCTTGCCGCTCGGTGTCACTCTCTGTGTGTTTTGTACTATGTTGAGGGTAGTTGGTAACCGAGCTACCCGACCTCGAGTCGTTCTCAAAGGAAGACGGTTCGGAGCGTCGTTCACCACTCAATTGTCCAAATCACACAAAATGAGAAAATAAAAGCTAAACATGCTAATCAATGGGTTGGAGAGTGAATTAATGCTAATCGATACTCGGAATTGAAAGGCAATAAGTAAACTAGAGAATAAAGCAATTAACACTATCGGAGTCTCTATGCCATCAACATCAAACAAAATCACGACGAGAAGTATGCAAGTTCTAACACTAGGTCACTAACCCTAACCATCTAACCTAAGTGATTAAGCTCTAAATAGAGTCCTAACCCTTAATCTAGATAGGCAAGCAATTAATCCCTACTAAAACAGGCAAGAGCAATGATAAAGTCCAAACATTCCCTCCATCATCAAGCAAACACCCAAAATCACCTTGATAAACATCATAAGTAAAAACGGGGCAAAAATCGAAGTAATGAGCTTTAAAAGTAAATACCCAATCTTCTATTGCGTGCTAGACGAAAATCGGAGTCAAAAGCTCAGAACTTGAACAAAATAAGAGTCGCTGGAAAACTCGCCGGAAAATGATATCATAGAGCTCCCAAGAGAGAGAAGAGAGAAAACTAAAAAGAAAAGAAAAATTACTAAAGAGGAAAAGTGACAAATGAAATCTAGATGCCAAAATACAAAGGGCCAAAATATATTTATAGTCTAGCTCAAAAACACACACTGGATTCACGCACATTAAATGAAACACTCTCGAGCTCGCCAACATGTTCGTGGGTCGCGGGCAGCAGTGGCACGGAGCAGGCGCGAGGAAGGCGTGAGGGAAAGCTCGGTGTGGCGCGAGAAAAATCCATACTCTCGATACTGCGGAGGGTTCCGCGCGCCCGGACAGGCCATGAAGCCACTACTCTCAATGTCGCGTAGGTGCTTGCGCACGGGGACGGCAGATGGCGCAGACGAAATGCTACTCTCGACCTCGCGAGATATTTCACGCGCGCGGACGGCAGAGGCAGCACACTCTTGAGCTGGCGGTGATCTTTGCGTGGTCGCGAGCTTCCAGGGCTGTGGGCATCGTGCGTCCGCGAGGCGCAGGAGACGGGGCGAAGTCGCGAGTGGCATGTGGGCAGCAATACTCTCGAGGTCGCGGCTCCTTGTGCGAGGTCGCGATGCTGGCTCAATTTTGAAACTTTAGATCGACATGGCTTGGAATTCTCAGAATGGAAATGGCTCGTACGAATTGGCTCGAAACTTCTCGGGATTCTTTCAAAAATGCTCGTCTCTCGGAGTTCAGTTCGACTCTTCTCTCATCTACCTTGAAATAATCCTGAAAATACACCCAAGAGCACAGAAAGTACGCCAAAAATAGAATAAAGAGAAAGACAAAGAAAATACACGAAACACGATCAAATGGACCGGTTGACACTAAAATGAACCTAAAAAGACTAAACTAAAACACATAAAACACACGAAAATAAGCACAAAAACACAATAAACACTGTCGCTGCCTCACCGCTCGTCGGCTCGACTCTCGCTTCCTCACAGCCTCTGCCCGTCGGTCGTCTCGAAGGTTTCGCACTCTCGCTTCTCGTCGCCACTCTTGCAGGTCTCGCTTTTCGCCTGCCACAGTGTCGTCGTCTCCGCTAGGGTTGAGAGCTTATGTTTTTGCCCCAAACCCAATTAGTTGAGAGATGAGATTAGGATTTAGAGTAGGGATTGGCGGGATCATCTTCTCTATTTTTTCACTTGTGTTTTTCTCTTTTCTTAAATAGAAAAAGAAGAAGCATGTGTGAGCTGGGTGATAGAATGTCAAATGTGTTTTTATAATCTTTAAAAAATCAATATATAAGTATAATACTATGACATTTTTAAAAAATTCATTATAAATTATAAACTTTGAAACATTTCATTATATTGTAATGTTGTTAACCCTTCTCAAACAAAGTTGCAACTATTTAGTTTTAATTATATTTTTTAAAAGAACAACTAAATTTGTGTTGGTAAATAAGGCGACAGATTTTTAAAAGCGATTATATATAACTACATATTTTAGAGAAGTGTTGCCATACAGATAAAAATAAGAACACTTTTGTATAAGTGTCATAATTCAGAAATATTTTTAAAATAACGTCACCATGTGGTAAATAACGTGACGCTTGTTTAATAATATCACTAACTAAATAGTCACGCTTTTTTTAAGTGTTGTTATATGTTTAAAGATGGCGACACAATTGTATAAGTGTCATAACATAATTACACTTTGAGATAAGTGTTGTCACATTAGTAAAAAGTTGTGACATTTTCTAAAAATGTGACATTATTTTAAGACACTTTTCAAAATGTGTCGCCATATAATTAAACATGACGACACTTTTTAAAAAATGTCTCAATATTGGTTAACACAATAACACTTTTTAAAAAGAGACATGATTTGATTACATTTGAAAAAAAACAACGTTGTTATAACCTTATCTTTGTAACGCTTTTTAAAAAGTGTCACAAACACATAAACTTTAATAACACTTATTAAAAAAGTCACCATATTTATGTTGTTAAAACCCATTTTTGTCTAACCGAAAGTAAGATCGTATTTAAGTAATCGGTCACCGAAATATTATAAATAATATAAATAAGTTAATAATTAAATTATAAAAAATATATTTAATATTTATAATATTTATATTTAATATTTTATAATTTTTTAGCTGAAAATAAATAATATTTTTTATAAAAATGTATTTATCAATTATATTTTATATGGTTAGACAGTTTGATTATTTTAGTTATTTTAAAAAAATAATGTCCATAGTGAACTGACAAAATTGATATTTTACAAATAAATATAGATAATTGAGCTGAAATATATGATTTCAAAACGAAATTTTTTAGTTCATTCAATGTCGGTCATTATGTGCAATTCGTTTAGCATTATGGTGCAAGTTGGTAGTAGTTAAAGTGCAATTCGTCTAACGCTATTGTGCAATCGCAGTGTATCTATTATTTATTAATATAAAAGTATATTTATTATTTTAATAGTTTTTATATACCAAAATTTTACATATTAAAAATTTTTATACAGTGTACGCTTTATTTATCATTAATATACATTTATGAGATATTTCTATATTCGAAACGAAATCTTAGTTCATTCAGTTTCGGTCATTATGTGTAATTCGTCATTATGGTGCAACTTGCCAGTCGTTAAAGCTCAATTCGTCAAACACTATTGTGCAGTCTCAGTTTATTTATTATTTATTATTATAAAAGGTATATTTATTATTTTAATATTTTTTTATATTAAAATCTTACATATTAAAACTTTTAAACATTGTACACTTTATTTATCATTAATATTCATTTATGAGATATTTCTATAAATTATATATTAGGTCATGAACTAAATTAAAAAAATACTCAAAATTAATAAAAATAAAATTGTCCCTCAACACTATCTAATTTTTTTTAGAAAAACAAAATCCATGAAACCCAAATCCCAAATTTGAATTTGCAAATTTATTATACATTTATTAAAGTTTTTGGAAATTACACATTAGGCACATGTACCAAATTGAAATATATTTAATCTTCATATATTTTCAAATTTAGCCCATGGGCTAAATTGAAATATAAAACAAATATGAAAATTGTAATTTAAACCCTAGGAAATATCAAATTCTCAATCACAAGTCCCCATCCAAAATCAATATCCACTGCCGTCGGGAACCACTAGCCGAGAGGAAGGTTACTTTGCCACCAAATCACACCGCCGCGTTGCTACACGATCGGAGCTCTGCAACGACTCCGGTGAGTCCGCTGCTGGTCGTGGTCGCCGGCGAGAATGGTTCTGCTGGTCATGGTCACCTCTGTCGTCACATCTCGTCGTCACTAACGCAAGAAATCTTATCTCTATAGTCGTGCACCGCTGTCGTCTGATTCCCCATCTCCGACGACATGAATCGTCCAGATCTCTACTGCTTCGCCGCTCGTCGAGTTGCCGGACCAGCTCACCGCGACCGATACCTACCAGGGCAGGGACATACTCTGGCTCGAATATGTCACATGACCTCCACTCGTTTCCAGTCGGCTGTCTGCTCCGATGGTCGACGACGGGTTTACAACTCCTGAGCATGTCTTTCGTCATCGGGGACGTTGAGGTCTCCGCCGTTGCCATCAAATATCGGACGTCAGAGAGTGAGTGCGAGAGGTGCTGTGAACTTCGGTTTTCCAATCGCGAGCCTTTGTGTTTGACTATGTGTGTGTGTGTGAGAAAGAAAGAGAGGGGGGCAGAGAGAGAGGGGGGAGGCATGGAAAGGGGATGGTGTACGAGGTAGGACCGAACGGACAAGAAAATTAAATGGAATGAAAGTTTATTCTGTTTCGTGAAGAGAAACACGAACGAACGAACCGAACAGGAATGGAGACCGAGCGAGATACAGATGGCGTGTCCGGCGCTAATCGTTACCAGGATTTGACCGTACGATACGCATTTAATGCAGCAGGATCTGGTAATAGTCCATCAAAGGTGTTTATCAAGCAGGGACACGTGTCACGACCTGGATGAAGCAACTTTATTGAGATGAGATTGTGTAGTACAATAGCATTAAATGTGGTGTGACTAAATATCAATTAATATCTTGTAAAGGAAAATGTAAAAGATAATCCCCAAAGTGTATTGTAATAAGTCCTCCAACTTCCTATATAAGGGGCAAGAGGCAACATTAAATGCAATGAGTAAATGCTTTCATTAATACTCTAAAAGTCACAGATAGAGCTTACATTCGTATTGCTTTGCATACCGAATACCATATAAGTTCCTATTCGTGCAAACCGAACCGAGTATACATTTCAGTATACAGTTCGAACACATTGTTGGTCATTTTTAGACATCAACAATTGGCGCTAGAAGGAGGGCCAAATATCTAACATGTCACGAACAACTGCATCATCGTCAAGCCAAAAATTCCGCCATTAAGAGTCGGAAGAAATAGACAACCAGCGCAACCACCAGCCAACCACAACGGATTATTCCACCTTGTTCAAGGACCCGAATTTTGTCAGAGGAATATCGAATCTCATGACAAACACCAAAAACTCCGGCGAAGAAGGAACTAACCACCGGACCCAGAGACAAAGGACCGGCGATTCAAGAAGACACTTCACAATCCCGCAGAGACACCACGAGAAGCCGGAGGGAGGAGACCAAGACCACTACCTGGACGGAACGGGAGCGGACAGATGATAGCCAGTCAGTCACAGATGCGCGCACGCGCTGCACCAACCGGTCAGTCTTCAACCGACTAAGAAGGAACGTTGCCAAGGACGACCTGAGATGGACGGTACTCAAACGGCGAGCAGGCGAAAACAAGAAAGAAGAAGTAAGGAGAAGAAGTAAGGAAGCTTCGAAAGAGGCTGTCCGGACTTGAAACCCGGCGAAAAAACTCAAAACGAACTGTCTCTACATCGCCAGACCGAACATAAGTGATACTGAGGCGAACCACCACAACCCTACGAGAACGAAAGAGGTCATTCCGACCGAGACTGAATCACCGCTAACGTTTGATATTTTGCAGGAACAGCTACCCGAGAAGATCAAGATTCCCCATATCGGATTCTACGATGGAATGTCAAATCCGGACACCCACATTGGGTTGTTCACATCATGGATGCACCTCCACGGTGCCCGAGACGCTCTACGTTGCCGAATGTTCTCATTGACTTTGGGGGAGAAAGCACAAAGATGGTACCATTTATTGCCACCGCATCCGGTCCACAGTTGGCCACAGCTGAAATCTATGTTCCGAACTCATTTCATTGGGTCACAACCGTGCCGAATACCGAAAAAGTCAATTGCCAACATAGTCCAGAGAACTGACGAGAGCCTGAAGGATTATATCACATGTTTTAACGAACGGATGCAAAACATGGAGCCGTGCCATCAGGAGACCCTGCTCGTTTTAGCATATTCTGGGTTGAGACCGAACTCAATGTTCGACCTTATGTGAGAACAAACCCCAAACCTACCATGAGTTCCTAATGAAAGCATAACAACATGTGATCGGGGAAGAAGGCATGTCCATACCAACGTTCGGAGCCCCGACCGAGTCACCACCGAAAGTCAAAGAACCAAAACCAATGATGGAATTCCAAGGGAGGACGGCCCAGGTCCGGGCGCTGTAGAAAAAATATCAGGAAGAACTGACGAACAACTACCAGGGAGTCTATTCGGCCGGCGCAGCCGTCGTGTACGAGGAGCTCAAGAACAAGGGGATCATACCAGACCCAAAACCAATCCGGGCCGATGAGGAGCACTTGGACAATTCCAGATATTGCGCATACCACAAGTCACACGGTCATAATACGGACCAGTGCAAGAACCTAATATCTGCTTTGTTGAAATTAATTGATAACCCACAGGTAAGGAGATTCACCAAGGTCGCAGGCGAAAACCGACTCCCCAGAAATGACGAACGAATGGAGTTGGAAGAAGAGCCAGACTTTGAACCAAACTAGCAAAGGGCGAGGGAACGCCCTCGGGAGATCCTTACAATCAGCCATGAACAGAGAGACGAGGCCAGCACATCCGGGACGGGCCGGAGAAAGAGAACTGTATCTGTTTGAGACAAAGAGGAGTCGTCCAACAACCAGGTCAGGAGGACCGTTTCCACAAGGAGGATAAATACGAGCAGTGGAGACTCGGGCGTGTTCAGAAGGCAGGCCAAGGCGTACGCGCGTCGAGCGTACAACACGGGGCATCAAGTTAGCCGTGCAAGAGTGAGAGAATGACAGCCCGTACCCATAAATCTCATAATGTTCTCAGATGAGGACTCACATCCGTTCGATAATCCACACTCAAACGCGCTCGTGATCGCAACCCCGATCTTTCATATTCCCGTCCATCGGATCGTGGTGGATACAGGCGCCTATTCGAGCATCTTGTACTGGGACGCTTTTTTCTGGATGGGAATCGATAGGAGCGAGCTACGTCCGTGCAACGACGGAATCACAGGATTTAACGGACAAGCCACTCTACCAGAAGGAGAAATTACGTTGTTAGTCGAACTGGGAGAAGGAGGAGCAAACAGACGGATCATCATGGAGACATTCAAGGTCATGAAGATGACCAGTGAGTATAACACAATCTTAGGACGGACGACGCTGTACAAATTGAAAGCAGCTGCATCAATCTTCCACTATTCGATCAAATTTCCGACTGAGAATGGAACGGGAGTTCACTATGGAAATCAAAGGGAAGCCTGAGAGTGTATCATGGCCATCCCATAACTTGAGATACATTCGTTCATGACCACAAATGGAGAATAGAACCTGTTTTGAAGTATTCTGAGGGTAGTTGGTAACCGAGCTACCCGACCTCGAGTCGTTCTCAAAGGAAGACGGTTCGGAGCTTTGTTCACCACTTAATTGTCCAAGTAACACAAAATGAGAAAATAAAAGCTAAACATGCTAACCAAGGGGTTTGAGAGTGAATTACTGCTAATCAAACTCGGAATATAAAGCAACAATTGAACTAGAGAATAAAGCAATTAACACCACCGGAGTCTCTAAACCATCAACATCAAACGAACTCAATGACGAACAATTTGCAAGTTCTAAGCACTAGGTCACTAATCCTAACCTTCTAACCTAAGTGATTAAGCTTTAAATGAAGTCTTAACCCTTAATCTAGATAGGCAAGTAATTAATCCCTACTAGAACAAGCAAGAGCAATGACCAAGTCCAAACATTCCCTCCATCATCAAGCAAACACCCAAAATCACCTTGATAATCATCACAAGTAAAAACGGGGCAAAAATCGAAGTAATGAGCTTTAAAAGTAAATACCCAATCTTCTATTGCGTGCTAGATGAAAACGGAGTCAAAAGCTCGGAACTTGAACAAAATAAGAGTCGCCGGAAAATTCGCCGGAAAATGATGTCATAGAGCTCCCAAGAGAGAGAAGAGAGAAAACTAAAAGGAAAATAGCTATTCCCAAAGTGGGAAAAGTGACAAATTAAATCTAGGTATCCCAAATACAAAGGAACAAAATATATTTATAGTGCAGCTCAAAACACACACTGGTTTCACGCACATTTACTAACAGGTACTCTCGAGCTCGCCGGGAATTCCACAGGTCGCGGGCTTGGGCTGGCACGGGCAAGTCACGAGGTAGCGCAGGCATGGCACGGAGTGGCGCGGGAGAAATCCACTACTCTCGAGCTGGCGGAGAGACTCGCGCGCGCGGACGGCAGGAAAGCGGGACACTCGCGACCTGGCGGGGGAGCTCGCGCGCGCGGACGTGAGGGCACGGACACTCTCGAGCTGACGGCAAGATTCGCGCTCGCGGACGGTGCTGGGCAGTGATACTCTCGACCTGACGGGCGAGTTCGCGCGGCGCGGCATGAGGTCGGCGCGAGGCGCGGGTCGCAGATGGCGCTGGGAGGACTACTCTCGAGGTCGCGAAGGACTTCGCGCGGCGCGGATACGGGGAAGGCACAGACTCGGCGCGAGGTAAGGGACTACTCTCGAGGTCGCGTGGGTTTTCGCGTGTCTCGGGTTCCGGGACAGCAGCATCTCGCGTCCATGAGGCGCGGGTCCTGGCGCGCGGTCGCGAGTGGCCCAGGGCAGCGGCACCATGGCTCGAAATTTTCGGAATGGGGACGGCTCGTGCGATTGGTTCAACACTTCTTGGAATTCTTTCGAAATTGCTCGTATCTCGGAATTCAGTTCGACCCTTCTCTTCATGCACGGAATAAACCTGAAATACACCCAAAAGCACGGAGAAATACGCCAAAAATAGAATAAAAAGAAAAACAAGAAAAATACACGAAACACGACAAAATGGACCGGTTATCCATCATGCGAATATGACACTCTCCTTATCATTCGGTAAACCAACGAATCGAACTCAAATTCGAAAACATGTTCCCCATGAGGTGAATCCATACAAAACAAAAACTCGTCCCGAGTCATCCTACACATTATTTTCTCGAATTAAGTTACCTGTTTCTACAAACACGTGCAAAAATCTATATATGGTCTACTCAAAATGTAGAGTATGATCAGCAAGACCAAATAAGCCAACTCCCTTCTCTTATTTGTTTTTAAGTGAATAGGGATAAGAGGAGCCTAGTCCGTACCTCCTCGCGAACTCACCTTTTATTTTTTTTTTTTTTT